TCCCACCTCACCCCCCTCAGCACCCGCATCCGAATATTGTCATACGGACTCACAGGGATAGCTCAACCAATTCATCGACGTTTCCAACCGGCTCATCTCCCCAGCCTCCAGCACCCACCAAACTCCCCTCCCCCGCCCTATCCCCACTCGCCTCCCCAAAACACCGCGCCCCCCAACCCCTTCCCAACCAATTACCCCGCCTTCCTCTTCCCACTCCCCACCGTATCATACGACACCAGCTCCCCCTTCCCCTCATCAAAGCTATAACTTGCGGCCGCCTCCCCATCCCACAACTCCACCGCCCCCGGCCGCGGCAGATCCCGCAACAACCAAATCCCCGACTGCGTCGACCCCTGCCCAACCCCCGCATACGGCCGCCCCAGCCCGGTCGTCGCCTCGAACGCCCGCCCGTATAGGGGCATGCCGAGCACTAGCTTGTGCGGGGGGATGCCGCGGGCGAGGTAGTCAGCGACGGCGCGGTCGGTGCTGAACTTGGTGGCCTGCGGGTTGGTCGGGTTGGGGTACAGGTTGGCTTGGTGGCCGGTGGTGGCGTCCCAGGAGCCGGCGTAGTCGTAGGCCATGATGTGCCAGGCGTCGAGGTGCGCGTCCATGGCGGCGAGGTCGAGCGTGTTGTAGTTCTGCGGGCCGGCGGGCGCCGCGATGGTCAGTTGGAAGTGGTAGCCGGGTGCGTGGGCCGCGGCGTAGGCGTCGAGGGCGGCGCGGCAGGTTGCGAGGAGGGATACGTAGTCGCGCGCTTGGGAGGGCGAGGTCGGGTATTCCCAGTCGATGTCGAGACCGTCGAAGCCCCAGTCTGTGGGGGTGGGTGAGTGAGTGAGTGGTGGTTGGCAAGGGGGCGTGTCAAATGGGGTTCTTACCTTTCATCAAGGTGACGGAAGAGTTGCAGAAATTTTGCCGTCCGGCTTCGGTAGCGGCGACGGGAGCGAACTTGGGGGAGTAGGTCCAACCCCCGATGGAGAGGAGTGTTTTCATATGCCGGTGCTTCTTTTTCAGCAAGTACAGTTGCTTGACGCAACCGTACGCGTTTTGCCCCTGGTCGTTCCATGAATCCGTGGGATAGTGTTTCTCAAGGTCCGAGTAGGAGTCGGACGAGTGCCTGCATTGTGTAAGCTAGAGATTAATGACGACGGCCTTTTTCTACTTACACCTCTCCATCAGGCCCGATGTCAGCGAAGGCATAGAGGACATGAGTGACTTTGTCGCCCGGAAGTTGTTCCGGCTGGTAGTTCGCTCCGTAAATACCCCTGAGACGGTTAACTTGTTATCATTCCACATCAAAAACGTAACGAACCAGTTCGTGAAGTAGAGGGCATTGCGATATCCCGATGGGGTGTTCTTGATGGTCGAGTTGCTGAACGGGGCGGTCTCGTTTACCGGTGAAGTAACGGTCTGGCTGGTGCTAGGCAACGGGATGGCCGAAACGCTGCTTGAGGCACTAGACGATGAAAGGCTTTCGGAGGCTGCCACCACAGCAACCGTTCGCTTCCCCCCCTGAGGATTCGTCACAGTCGCCCCTTGACATTTTATCTGGACATTTTCTCCGGGGCCGAGATTGACGCTCTTGGGGAGGGCTGAAGCGGCCGAGGAGAGGGCTAAAGGAGCGACAAGAAGCAAAACTGAGGACAACATCTTCGCCTTTGGGGGGGTATAGAAAGTGTGAGGTAATGACTGTAACAGAAACGGACGCCGGGTTCAGGGCCAAAGAGGCAAGTTATAAGAAGCTGTCACAACTCCTACGTCGCCAGTTCAAAGAAATGTGAAAAACACCTCGGTATGGCGGCCCAGCTCTCCAATCTCAGACACGCCAGCGATGGGATGAGAGGTCGAGCATGCTCTCAACACCTCCTAGTCCGCGAGGACTTTCGTCGTGAAGTACGCCCGTCTCATTCATCTCTGGGAAATACTTGGGAGGCAAAGGGATAGCCAATATCGCCAATCTTTAGCCTGAGGTTGACGGACATATCGATGAGTCCCGGTTTAACTCGACTGGGTGTGCGGAATGTTGAGAGAAGACGCATGGAAGACGGGGAGCCGGGCAGCTTGGGCGGCCATCGTGGAATGAGACGGGAAGTGACAGTACACAGATTCGATAGAGACCATAGACGGAAGATAGCGGGAGGAGTTCAGCCGCATTGTCATCAGAACATCCGGATATACCACATTTTGATTGCTCCTGAGAGGACAGAAGTCGGTCGAGAGTACCCGGATCGCGTCCACGGCTGCTTTCTTGTCTGTGAGGGCGGGAACTGATGTGGAATTCATCAACGTCCCCTTCTCCAAACCAGGGAGCCGGCCTTGCTTACGCAGTAACGCCGAGGCGTCGATCTAATCAACAGTGGCGCTCGGGAGATTTACGTTGCGTTGCTGGAGTTGACGATCAGCGATCAGAGGATCGGTAGTGGTTGCAGGATGCTAATTTATAGTGGGATCCACTAACCTTCGGCACTGCAATGCAGCTGCAAGGGTGGGAGAGATTGATCCATTCTTGTGCTTCTTGTAACTGCTGTGTATGCACGTATGTACCCATTTTGATCCGCTGAACCACTAACACACTCTCTTCCAACCGCTAAACCAGCTTGAGGTTGGGTTAGCCACACAAACAATTGATGTTATCACCATAGAAGAACTTATGGCGAAAAAGCCTCACATCCATAACCCGATTACCATCTCCCAGCATCCTCTTGCTCCCGTCTCATTCACAAGTCACACCCCCCTATCCACTTTCCTTTCTCCCATATGGTTAACATCCGCCCTAAACAGCACATTAGCACTCATTCCAACCAACCATCACAACGCCCCCCCCCCCCCCCCCCCCAAAAAAAAAAATTTTATCCTCCTCTTTTCCCCGAAAAAGAACTACCTATTCATGGCACACGAGAACCACGAATTTAGATCACCAGACATTTTGAAATGGCGTGACTTTTATTCACTCGTTGGCGCCAGCGCGTGTGCGGTTGCTATATCTAGAGCTGGTGATCTCGACTCAGGAGACAGGTAGTGGCGTGATACGCAGTGCGTTCACAACAGATCCCAGAGAACGCTACATAACAGTCCATTTCCGGACAAATGGCGGCCAACCAAAAAAGATCAGATCATCACCTACGTTAGTCCTGACTGATATGATATTCCACAGCTGCTCTAAGTTATGAACATCCATACCCGCCATCCAACGCAATACTCGTACTCTATAGCCGTCTCTGAAACTCCTGTTTATCAAGTGGTGTTGGGTATCGTCTGTATTCCTGAAGCAGCCATGAAGGCCCCTTCCATCTGTTCTAATGGCCATGGCCTTCAGATTGCTGTCTTGCCCAACTTCGCCGCCAACTCATCGACCTCCTTGTCCTTTTGCTGGGCAACCGGCTCCGAGTAAGCCTCCTTGGTCTCCTTGATAAACTTCTCAGCCTTCTCTTCAGGCTCAACGTCTGCCTCCTCCTCCTCTTCCTCCTCCTCTTCCTCGCCCTCAGACTCCTCTTCCAGATCGCTCAAGCTGTCAAGGCCCCATTCGTCCTCGAAGATGATATCACCGGCCTGCTTCTCCTTGCGCGCCTCGAAGAGGTCTTGAAGCGCAATAATGGACTCGTCGTCCTCGGTAAACTTGTTGCCGTTGAGCTCTAGCTTCTTGAGAACTGGCAGCGCCTCGGCAGCCTCGGCCAACGCCTTGACGCCTGACGCAGTGATCTCGTTGTACTGCAGCCGCAGAATCTTGAGCTTTGTGTTCTTCCCCTTCCCGAGCGACTGAGCCAGAAGCACGCCACCCTTTGCGCCGAGCAGCGAGTCGCCAATGCCCAACTCGATCAGCTCAGCCCAACCAGGCGCGACTGCCGCCAGCGCCTTGGCACCTAGGAGGGTAAATGTGTTGTCTTGCAGATCGAGCACCTCGAGCTGCGAGGTGTGGCGCAGGCCCTCGCTCAGAAGATGTGAGATACCCTCCTGACGGATGCCGTTCTGCACCATCTTGATCTCCTTGATCTTGTTGTGCAACTTGAACGCCTTGGCCCATGCCGCCATGCTGCCATTTTCGAGCCGGTTGCGACCGCAGATGACCGTCTCGAGATTGGGTACTTGCTGCCCATTCTTGCGGGCCTCCTCCTTTTTGCCGTGTAGTTCCGAGAGCGCATCGGCAATCAAGATTCCTGCGTGCGGGCCGAGGCCGTTGTTGTTGAGGTAAAGGTGCTGGAGGGGCACGTGCGCCGCCAGAAATGTGACCAGGGGTGCTTGGGTGTTCAGACCGAAGGCGTTGTCGTTGAGGTTGATGGTGTTTAGGTTCGGGAGGTTAAGAATCGAAGTAAGGAGGAAGGAAAGCGCTTCGGGGATCTCGTTGAGGAGGCGACCGGTGAAGATGTCGGCGAGGTTGGCAACCTGGGAAAAAAAAAAGAAATGTCAGGGGGCTGCAACACGCAATGGCGGGGTTATCGCGTCTAAACTTGACTTACACGCAACGTCTTCTTCGTCCCAAGGACTTCGCCGAGCAACTTGCATGCGCCGACGCCCAAGGTGTTGCCTAGAATGCGCACTTCCTCGATGTCGTCCATGGCGCGAAGATCGGTAATGTGAGCCTCGAGGTCCTCGGCCGTGTCCAGCTTCAGGCCCCTCCCCTCAAGGGAGAAAATCTTGGTAGAGGAAGCCATTGTGATGACAGTAGAGTAATATGTAGGCGTAATCGCCGAGATACCTGGAGTTGCACAAGTCGTGTTGGTTTGCGAGAGGCGAAGTTGAGTGCTGCAAGACGGGGCGCGAGTCTCAACTTCGGAGGGTATGGAATTTATCGTTATGGTGGGGGAGGGGTAAACAGAAAGACCTGCAGCCTGGCGCTGGGGCTGAGGGTGGCAATCCCTGGCAAGCCTAGGCCATTGAACCCACAGCTGGCGTCAGTTGTCTACCACTTGCTTGGCGGTGAGAGCTGGGCCACACCCCGGTCCAGGCATAGGCGGAAGCACTCTCCGGGCGCGCAGCGCGCAGACAGCAGCCAGTGCGTGCATGTTCTCGAAATCCACTGTCTTCTCATCCAAGTTGCCATCCTTCTCAATTCATCCTCGAGGCACCGAATGCACGTGAAATCTTACTACAATCAGGCACATTTATTTTTTACCAGCCTTATTCCTCTTTCAATTCTCTGCAACTCCAACACCAAGCGAACCCAGTCAACATCAAGGCGTTTGAACTTGCATCGAACTCTCACGCACCTTTGCATTCCCCATCTTCAATTCTTACACCGTTTACCACAATGGCAAGGCCAGATTCACCGATGGACGATTCGCCATTGTCGTCAATGTCCTCCTCCGAGGACGAGTTTCCCGACGAGGTCACCGAGGTCATGGACGACGGGCCGCCACCCAAGCGACTCAAGATCACTGCCCGGTCTAACACGCCTTCAGCCGTCGCGCCGGAGCCCGAGACAGGCCCCGATCCGCTCGAGGGCATGTCCGATGTATCTTCCGACACCGATGGCGACGTCCCAAGCTCGCCAATCAATGCGCGACAAGACGAAGATGACTTCCAGGAGCAGATCACCGTTTGCGCGTGGGAAAGGGTGCAGGACCGGGGACATGAGTAACATGGACAAGCTCGTCGAACATATCCACAACGACCACATCGAGAGCAGACAAAAGAAGTATACTTGCGAATGGGTTGGCTGCTCCAGGAAGAGCATGCCTCATGCTAGTGGCTACGCGCTGAAGGCCCATATGAGGAGCCACACGAGGGAGAAGCCGTTTTACTGCTACTTACCCGGTACGTTCTCGCGAGACTCCATCTTTGTTTCTATCAGGTGACTTAACACTACGCCCTCAGAATGCGATCGCGCATTCACTCGTTCCGACGCTCTCGCGAAGCACATGCGCACCGTACACGAAACCGAAGCACTCCGGCCTTCCGACCCGGTCCCCAAGAGCATGCAAGCCGCGACGGGCAAGTCCAAGAACCTGAAAATCATCATCAAAACCCCACAATCACACGCCGCCGGCCACGACGACGCCATCGACGATGGTAGCGCGGGCGACGAGTCTTCAAGCGACATGTTCACCCCCCTCACCGAAGATCAGGGATTTGCTTCCAACGAAATCAAGATGCCGCTCGAGCGGCTTATGAAGCTCTGCTGGCTGCAGGTGAAGTGGGCTGAGGAGGAAGGCGAGAAGCTGCGTGCTGAGTGCAAGCAGTGGGAGGAGTTGTACAAGCAGGAGTGGCTCGAGAAGGAGGTGTTGCTAGATCAAATGGTCGACAGCGAGCAGGCATGGCAGGCTCGGAGGCAGGCGCTGCTTGCAACAGCAGATGATGGTGACGCAGTGCCAGCTGACTCGAATGAGCCGGTTGCGCTTGACGTCTAGAAAACCCCGAGTGTTCATTATGCGGCTAACTTATCAACCGTTTATAGTATTGATAAGTGGCGGCCGGGACGGTTTCTTGCACCTTGTCCTGGAGGGGGTTACATTTTTGGGTGGGAGTTTAGGGATTGGAAGGGCATTTGACAGGGCATGGAAGGTGAGAGACGTTGGTCTCAACCATAGCGAGGCGTGATTGGGCAGCCTTTCAAATAGAATGGCCGGATTGGGGCGTTGCTTTATTATGAGGGAGTGAAGGCTAAAATGTCGCCTTTCGCCGCCCCTATTCTGGCGGTTGTTAATATTTAATAGGAATAGAACAACCCCATTCTTATCTAGTACGATCCCAGCCCGATCTCCATTACCAAAAGCCCAATCAACTCCGCCTCACACACCCACCCCGCTGACAACTGACAACATACATCACATCACATCCACCATGCACGCCCCTCCAGGAAAAGAAACCTTTAAATAGGGGG